GTAAGATCACTTAATGAAGTTGTTCGGTAAGAACCTCATGTTACAGCAGTTCCAGCAGAATGTATACTTTCCTGTCTCTTGGGTAGTAAAAAGCAATGGCCATGAATTTCTCCTCCCTGGTTTAAGCTCTTTAAACTGACAGTAAAGATACCATGATTGTCCATAAAATATTGCTGCAAACCTTTTAAATATTTTCACAAATCTGTTTTCTCTATAACTCTATTTGCTCCTAGATCATCAAGAAAAAAACATTCATTAGTGAGAGCCAAAGCATCCTGCTATAAATTTGAGCACCATCACTACCGCCACTGTAAAAAATACACTTGAATGTGTATAAAAATAATAACAAGGGGTTGCAGCTTCAATCTCATTATCTTTCTTAGCGTTTTATAGTTTTTTTTAAGTAAAAATGCATGTTTTTTAAGTAAAAATGCATACGCTTTTTTTAAGTAAGAATGCATATTAAATTTAAAAAAATTTGATTCCAAACTGAAAACATATAAGCAAGCGCTCTCATTTGTAAAGGACATAAAAGTTAATTCTTCCATCTGAGTATGGATTAATTTCAGGCATTCTTTCCTTTGTCAGTTTGCTCTATATATTTTGAGTGATAAGAGGAAAATGTTCTGTAAAGAGAAAAGGCTAAATTATATTTAGTGTAAGTCTACACAATACAAACAAAGTAGCCTATTGAAAATTATGGCACATCCTATTTTTCCATTTTTCCACTGCAGAAAAATGGCTCTTAAATAATTGAACCTAAATGTTAATTTCAGAAACAGCTTATAAAGTCTTCAGTTCTATTAACATTTGATAGGTGAGACCCTGCTACCTGCCTAGCACAATTAGATGCTGTAAGATATAAAAGAGTTAAGACATACTAACTAAATGTCTTTTTTTTTTCCTTTTGTGAGTGTTTTTGTTCCACATTATTAGAAACAGTAACATTAAAAGAGACTTTCATACCCTTAAAAGTTCTATTCTCATTAAATATAGAGAATAGACAGCTCTATTAATGAGCTGTCTGAGACAGCTCCTCTTAATTCCTTTTACAAAGCAGGCCCTGAAGTTAACTAAGGATGAATTAGGGTCACACACAGCATAGTGCCATGCACACGTAGTAGGCCACAGAGAGAAGTTCTGTCTACATGAACCAAGCTATTTCAGAACAATCACTTCAAACAGAGTCGTCTCCAGGGCTAAAAAAATATAAAATAGGTCTAGTAAAAGAATTTCCAAATCATAACAGAAAAACTAGAGGGCTCATTCAATCTTTACTTTAAAACCATTGCATTTTATGTGCCTTCACTCCAGAAAGCTGAGGGCAGGAGAAGTGTATTCTATTTATATGTGTATGCCTGGTGTCTAAAACAGTCCCTTGCATATGCCTTCAATAACTGGTGGGATAGATGGATGGATGGATGCAGAAAAGGGCCTTCACGAAGTATTTGGTAACCATATTACATCTCTTTAACATCTTAATATTCCTTTAAATTTCTGGAAATAAGGCTCAAGTTTCACTCCACCGTACTGTCACCAATCTATGATTCAAAGATCATATGCTCTAAGTTTGAAATGATGTATTGTCCAATCAAACCTGCCAACTAATCCAAGAATTCTCTTCAATATCCCTGTGAGAGTTATTCAGCCTCTGCTTTGACATCTCGAGGAACCCTTTGGATTAAGGCAAAATTTTTCATTTTTTAAAAATAATTTACTTTAAATACTTTAAAGTCACAGAAGAGTTGCTGATATAATACAAAGAATACAATCTCCGTCTCTCCTTCTCTCTGTTTCTTCAGTTGTTAACATTTCACCACATATGTGTGCTCTATCTATATACCTAATCTCTCTTTCCTTCCCTCTCTCTCTTTTTCCTTTCATATATATATATATATATATATATATATATATATATATATATATATATATATATATATAGTGTGTGTGTGTGTGTGTAGCTAAATATATGTGTTGTGTACATAAATATATATAAACATTAAATTAGTATTTTTTAATCATTTGAGAGCAAGATGCAATCACAATTTTCAATCACTGCTAAACATTTCATTCTATCTATCTATCTATCTATCTATCTATCTAAAATCATGAGTTCACACTGATATGTGTAATCCCAATCCCAAATCTCAGGGTTGTTTCTAGTGTTCTCCCTTTCAAATTTTATAAATACCTTCTATAACAGTGAGATACTCGGCTTTCATTATCCTCTAAATATTTACTAATTTATTCATTTATTTACTCAATATTTATTTGTACAATATAACCAATCTCCCAACTATGC